CCCCCTCCCCCCAACTTACTGGCCAGATGCTGCTCTCCAAGCTGCCTGGCTACATTTCTGACCACGTGTATGCTGTGGCTGTGCACATGCATGCGGCATTTATCAGTGACATTATTGGCCACATGGGCCAAAAGTGCTCATTGCCGATTTAATATCAGTTTTCATATGTTTAGTGGTGATAAGATATATGGACTAATATATTGGTGCACCTCTAATATTTACCCCATGGTCAGATTGGTACAGACTGGAAAGTTTTCCCTTCCTATGTAGCAGGGGGTGTGTGGCCCATTTCCTTGTTCCCTTAAGTGTATTTTTAACAACCCTTATAACAGTAGCACAGTGGCTGCTGTTGTTACCCTACTTGATCTGTGGCACATTAGGGTACTGTCTTGTGGTTGGGTCGGGGTTGATTATGTAGCTTTAGTAATAAGTTGGACAGTGGATTTGTACAGGTTGGTTTGGATAAGGATGATCCTGTCTCTGGCAGAGGGTTGGACTAGGTGACCTTTGAGGGGGAGTCCTTCACAGCCCTATTTTTCTGTGATTCCATGAAAGACTGATTTACCAGAGTTTGTTCCTTTAAGGCTTGTGTTCAGATCCCCAGTTTCCTATATATAGTTTTCTTATGTCCAGTCTAAGTCAGCCTTCTAGAAGTTTGTGGCTGTTATATCTTGTTATCCCCTAAGTAACCCTGATGAACAACTGTTCTCCCATATATTAGTGCCAGCCTCCCCTATATACTTATAGGCTGCCACCAAATCCCCCCTGAGCCTTCTCTTCTCTAGGTTAAAGAGTCCTGTGCTGCTATTCTTCTGAAGCTTCCTGGTTTATCAAGTGTGTTTGTGCTGAATTAATTGATCCGAGATGATTTCTACTTGCATATGGCTGAACACCTTTTAAGATATTTCCGACTAATCAGTGCAGGTGGAGAGAGGCAAATATGAAATAAATTGTTCACATGTGCTGCCAGAATAAGCCAATGTGCAAGTCAGTGTTTGACCCATACCTGGAGTGCTCTTGTGAGAATAGGAATATGAGATGAGGTGGGACTCGCTGGGTGCATTTACACATGTGCTATAATGTACAGTAGCTTATTTTTACTGCATATTAAAGCATCACGTAAAAAAAGTGCAGTTACACTAATGCGCAATAAAATAGGCTACTGTGCATTTAAGTGTCACTCTAAAAAACGTGCACTTCCAGTACTTCACAGTAGAGCAACCTAACGCACGTTTTATTTAGTACCTCACACTGGAGGTACTAAATTTTAATGTGCATTAGGAAAATCGCATTAATGCATGTGTAGACATACCCACTGTGATCTAGCCTGATCTCTTCTTTAACACAGGACATAAGACTTCACTAAGTTCTTGCTTGCTTGAAGAAGAGCAACGATGCTCATGTTTTTGGCTCCGCAGGCCAGACAATGGCATAGGGCTGGTCCACAGGCTGGTTTGGGCCTGGTGCCAGGGTTGGGCTCTGGGGCTCTGGTCTGCTCCTTTCCTGACTCCTGTGCATCGGGTTCAGGCTCTAGGTTGCCCTGCATGCCTGATCTAGCATATCGTGAGCTAGTTTCTTAAATCGCTTCCAACCAGCCTTATCCCTGCCCCTTTACCAGCATTCTCATGAGTCTCCAGAATCCTCTGTAGATTTCTGGTCACAGTTTTAAATAGTGTTGCTTAAATTTAAATTTCAGTAATAGGAAAAAAAATAAGCAAAAATCTGTTACTTAAATGGGATTCCAGGTATCTGAATTTTTTTGCAGTACTGTTCCCAGTTACAGTTTTAGCATAGCAAATATTGTAAAAAAAAACCCCAAAAAACAACCATGCTTGCCATTGTATTTCCAAATCTGGGGGTGAAACTGGCTAGGATTGGTCAATTAATACTTCCATCTCTTTTTACTGAGCAAGAGTATTTCTTGCTTAAATATATTTAAAGGAGGGTGATTGTAGGAAATGGGAAAGGTATGAGGCATTAAAAATGAACAAAACTAATACAATTTAGGATGTTTAAAGGGAAAGAGAAATGGATAAAAATCAAAAGAAGTTAAAAGCATGCTTGAAGACTGGTTTGATTGAAATCTGTTTCATGAATAACCAAAAAACTGAATAAAACTACTTTGTACTTATCCCAAATCAGAGGAAACTACATTTGTTCTCTTTGAAGCAGGAGTGTCTTTGCCAGACAGTAACGCCTTTCTGGCAAGTAGTTGCTTAATTTTAGTATTCCAAATTTCACCTGGCTCAGGCAAAACCCTTATGACAAAACTTGGCACTAAAAAAATGAATGGCATGTTTAATATTATGCCCATAACTGGTATTTTTCAGCTCTTTTCTTGGGAAGTATGCCCAGTGCACAATGACGTTGATTCTTAGTTGGGTATAAATTGACCAATAAGGTCTTTAGATTTTGTTATTGTAGGCAGCTCATTGCCACACATGGCAGCAGTGTGTTGCTGGTTGAAGTGGTCTACCCATATCTGAAAAACCATGTTGCTAATCTGGCAAGTAGTGTGGGTAGCTGCTGTTTTGGAATCCAAGATGGCTACCATGAATTCATGTTTTGGTCAATATTTCAGTCCCCACTAGCATTAGAAAATTAACTCCAGAGACAAAAAATAATGTTGTATGAACTGAGGAGATCGGTCATAACATTTTTATTGTGGTAGCCATTTCCAAGATTGCTGACATTAGCATGTGTGTATTGACTCAATATAACTTTAAAAAAACAACCTAGTAAACAATACTCTATTACTAAAACCCCACAAATTACATTACTACAAATTTCATAGCAAGCCTCCAGTACTAAAAATATTATAACTCAGGCTAGCCTATTTGTCTGAGTTGCACTGAATATAATAATACAATTTTTAAAATTTCAATATCCGGATGAGTCTGATATTACTAATACATAACTTGGTGGCAATGAAATGCACAGACATATGTTTAGCTCAAAGCAGTAGAAAAATGTAATAGTCTAATTCAATGGTAATACAACAGTATATATAACATTAATACAATGGGTAATTGCAGTTTTTCAGATCTCTTCATCATTTGAATCCAAATTATATGGATTGCAACATGCTGTCTCATAGCACTTATGGCTGGGAGTGCATGGCACATTAACCTGCTTGCACAAGCATGCTGGTCCCTAGTCTTCCATCTTGCAGTTGCAACTTGTTATCTGAAGGTGTTCTGCTGGTAATGGTTCAAGCATGTTTAATAGGAACATAACCATCGTTTTCAGCTTGCCAACCACACTGGTCAGGTGATGGCAATAGTAGATTAAGTTTAAGTGCACTTTGTGAAATGAGACTTCGGTAATTGGCCCTATGTACATAGTGCATAAGGGAGTCGTATGTAGGCAGAAGTTTATCTAGAGCTTTTTCTTGATGGAATATTTTTCCCCTAACTTCAAGAAGGGTTGTTAAAGATGTTGATGGCTGATGCTACAACACAAACTTTTCTGCTCAACTGTACAAATCCTTATCAACATCAGGCCTACTTCTTAGACCTGCCAGTAGATGTGAATGCTGAATGAAAACTTTCTTAGTGTGACCACTGAA